GTAATTAAGACATTGAAATTTTGGGAAGCTGTAATATATTGGTGTTTTTCAAAATATATTTCAGATAAGTATAGCCCTATAAAGCCATCCAGTAATCCGAAAGTCGAAACTTTAGCAAATACTAAATCAACGGGATTACAGGAATTAGAGTGGAGCCTCGAGGAAGATGAAGCTGAACAAGTAAGTCACGTGATTCAATTTTATATGTTGCTGATTTTGGATACTGAGGCATGAAAAGCTCAGTGGGAATGATATAACATAACATGTAAGGAGTAGGAAAAATAAAAGGGAAATCTCAGAAAGTTCATCTAAAACTTCAGTTTTTTCCCAAACAATTCGCATCGATAGCTTTACAAAATGGTCATCACACAGCAGTTGATTTTAGATGTTAAACGTTTATTGAAGCCTATCGATCAGCAAATCACAGGTTCGTCACTAGTAGAAGCTACAAAACAATCGTATGTTAAATTCAATTCGAAGTGCTTAAAAGCAGTTTTGTTGGTGATTGTGAATAAATCCATATCTATGGCTTTATAATTATAAAGTCACTGTTATGCCTTAATTTAAACTTTTTTACACTTATGAAATAGAATTAGTTTCCAATCATGCAACGGTCGTTTCCCAACCAATTTGAGTGCTAGTGAATGCAACTTAGTGGTCATGATGAAATTAACGAACCAATCTCTAAAGTATTTTGTGGGTACTAGTGTTTCTAATAGACTAGTCGACCCTTAGTTAGTTAGTAATGACTAGGTCACTCAGTCGTAAGAAACACCAACCCTGGGACATACGTACATTGCTTCGGGTTGACGCAGAACACCAGTCTAGCGGCATGAAACTACCGAGACAAATCCAAGAGTAGTAGAAGTAGTAACATTATTAATAGTAGAAGAAAAGATTGGGCATAAATAATAAGATCCGAGGAAAAAAAGGTGAATTTCAGCCTACTTCTACAACAACAATCATCGTTATAGTGGTGAAGTATCATTCTAAAAAAATCCAGGCTCTAGAAATGGTTGAACATATCTCAAACTACTTATTTATACGAATATTCGTCAAGATTAGAACGAATAGTTTGACATATATTGGGCGCCGAGTATAGAGAAGTCATTATATATGTCAATTATACTTGAAACAATCTCAGCGATTGAAATTTCAATGACAAACTACTTATTGTTATTAAGTAGGACGTCACACTAAAGAACAAAGTGGTTTAGAAGTACAAAACAGGTTAATTTATCACATCTTTGGTATTCTTAATACATAAATATGATTTGGTTGTTATTATTCTTTATAACCATCTTTGTGAAAGCTATCTGTAAAAATGTGCAAATTATTACTAAACATGAACTAAAGATTTTAAACGGGGAAAATGATTTTCAGATTAACAAGAGACAATTTGAATGGGAAACTAGGTAATATCTGTTCCCAGTGGCTTAGTTGCATTGTCTACACCTCATAGGGACTGGTTTAATCACTCTATTATGTTTATTCTAGTTTTCTATTCTAACTGATATATAGACTGAGATGAGTGTGCACGTGTATCAGGTATTTATTTATTAAATTACTCTTGTGAATAATATTACACTGGCAAAAGATTTTGCTCATAAGTTAGAATTATTATCCCCCACACATAATACATTTCCTATAAGGTGAAATATTTATGTTGTCTCTGATTTCTGAGCAGTTATAATTCATGAACTGGTGTTATTTTTTGGTTTGGCCATCCCTAACGTTTTCCATTTCACTTCACCCGTCAAGCTACGCGGTGATTGAGCATACTTAACTCATGTCTCAACCACCGCAGTTGATGGAGATTTACTATCTCATCAATCGACTTTCCATCTTTACCTATGACTCTGTTCTTAATCCATGGATTGCTTACCAGGTAGACACAAGCATTAATTCGAAGATGCCTATGATCGAATAATAGTAACCTACGAATATTATTAGTCTTCATGTTTCACACCCATAAACTCGTCCTTTGGTTGGTAAACAAATATCTCACGTACATCACAAGTTGGTAAAAACCAATCGGGTTTTCTGAATCTACTGAAATTTTGCCAGACACCAGGCCATGACTGATGATGCTCTCAAGATAAGTGAGATGGCCGATATGTTCAAATACTTCACTCCCTATCATTAATTCAGGCGCCAATCCCGAAGCAAAATTTTGCTTTTGAAGGGAGAGAACCGCATCCCAAACATGCTTGGATCAGAAGACTACATTCTGTCAGCATCTTCACTAAACAGAAAACATATTATCTGCGTATTCTAATTCAACAAGTGGATTTCCTGATAGAACAACCACTGAAGTCAGGCGACGAGGGTAATATCTCTAAAAGCGTGTCTACGGGAACGTTAAGACAGCACTGACGAACATCGTTCGAAGTAACTATTTCTGATGGCGGTTCGCTATAAACCCGCACAAGGTTAATGCACCTTTTCCACACGCATTTCAATGACACACTGCCACAGAACCTCACAGTCAACTGAGTTGAGCGCCGCCTTAATGTCAAGGATTAAAACTATTGTCGGTCGTCGAAAAGCATATCTATGTTGCAGAACCTGCCGGAATGTAAATATTTGGTCTATAGAGACCGCATCCAGGGTCGAAATCAGGCTGGTTTTCTCGAGTAAGCATAAAGCAATGCACAAAAAATGTGAAGAGAATACAAACGAACTTAACACCAACATCTGATAAGAGGTAATAAAAATGTGTTCTTTTATAATTTTAAGCTTTTCAGGAATATGAGTCCTCTTTTGCGAGCGAGACAACTTAACAGATTTATGAATCTGTTTTTCGACCAGATTTTCATTAAAATACAAAAGTGTAGGTTTGGACAAAAATATATACTCATAAATGACAGTTTGACTAGATTACTTTATTCGTACACTTATTACTTGTGTCAGTGCTTTGTAACTGGCTACAAGTAGAATCTAATACGCTTGTTTGTAAAGTGTCAAACGTATCAACTAAATACATAATAGCGTTTTAATGAAGATAAAATTGTAGTCGTATCAGTTACGCTAACTTAGTAATCCCCTGATTACGCCGTAATGCTTATTCACTGTTTTACAAATTGATAATAAGTTCACTGAAAAGAGATACTTTCGCTGAGTGTCATATTTTTATTGTTCTGATGGGAACGTAAATAATTAATAATTGGATAGTGAAGTAACCTAGGTAACACGATTTGTGTTGCTTTGTAAAACACCATAAACGAACGAAAACAAGTAAAATATGATCTGAAATTCCCTATGGGTTAAATAAACACTAATATTATGCTATCACTAAGTATAATTACTATACTAATGTTCTGTTAATTTGCTTTTGCTAATAATGTAATGGTAATACATAAAACTAGTATCCTACCTACACTTCTAATTCCAGATACCAAAACACAATGATCTAACCCCAGAAAAAGTTCGAGTGAACAAAGTCAGTGGTAAAGCAACATTGCAGACAAAACAAGCAACCAGTAAAAAGTCTGTGCCAAGCTGTCAACTTATACTGCAAACTAAAGATGATTTTGGATTGGATTCTGACAAGGAAGAGGCGACAACACTAGCGGACATGGTTGAAGACGTTTCCACCGACGACGACATAAGTTCTTCGTTAAATGAAGGTAAATCTTCCAAGCAAAATCATTTAGGGAAAAATCCAGTCAATCCACTGAATGAAGCATTACCAAAAACTAATCGAAGTGGGCGCGGACGTGGCGTACGGACTGACATAGTCTCTAGTGGTTCAACTCGAGGCAGAGGAAATAATCGTAGACTTGGTTCTAAGTCAGGATCACAACAGATAAATAATGATGATGATCGCCTTGATTTCGATTTTCGCCGAAAGCGTAGGAAAGTTGAATGAGACTTGATTTATATAGTTTACTTTCTAATTTATCATAAATTATATTCTTTTATTTTTGTTTTTACAATATGACTGATTATTTTCCTAATAGAGATTTTTGTGGACTTGAATTTCTTCATTTGTATCTTATGAAAATAGGTTAGTAATGCAACCAAGGACTTATAACTCGTTACATTGTTACTACAAATGAACAAGTAAAATCCATTTCATTTTCAACATAGTATTTACAATATAATGGGTGCAATCAAAAGAAAATCCACATATGAAATGAGATTAAAAAAAGCTACTGATGCAAGCTGTTATATCACAGTCAAGATATTTAAGAAGGAAAAATCCGACTTTTCTATCATAAATGCACAATCCTTGAATACATTTTCAGATATCTATTGTATGGAAACAAAAAATATAGGAATATTAGATAAGTAACGTAGAAGAAAACTAGAAAGTACAAATATTTATTTGTTTTGTACCAGAAAAGTGGCGGTTTAATCTTTTTCGCACCCCAAATATTACATTAAATCTTACATGAGTAAAACTGCATAAAAACGCGTGGTTTATTCGATAGGAATCTCTACGAACCAGTTTTCTGTATAAAAATATATGGTGGAGTCAAGCACTGTTGAGTGCATTATTTATGACTAAGGCATCCACTGATAACGTGTTTGAAACCAACATTGAAGATTTTAGGATAATTGGTGCAAAGATTTGAGAGAACTGATGTTTTGTGGCCGATGAGTTTTTTCAAAATAACTTAAATTTACTTTCTGATTCTCTCCAGTTCGTCTAGGTTTAAATCTAGATAAAAATCTTAGACTCCGGAAACGCGCTTGATACTTGGTTAAGAGTGAGATCCAATCCGCAACTGTGTATCTCATATTGTTCAATTACGGAGTATAAATCCGGTTACAGCTATGTAAACTCAACCACGAAAGTAAACTAGAAAAAATGGAATACCCTAGGTAATAAGGACGATTAATTCTGAAGACTTCACTCAATTAAGCGAAAAAGACAACTATTCGGATATAAATTAGTCATACAAGTGGATCAAAATATTACTTACTCAAAGTACATATAATACTGACATAAATATTTCTGAATTTATTATGATACATCTTTAATTTATATTTTATTATGGGATTGACTTTGGAGAAGCGAAGAGTTTGCCAGCTAGTTTTTTTCTTCCTTTGATTTCTTCATCGACACGTTTAGCCTCGATAATGTTTAGTTCATTTTCGACTGTGTTCTTCATTTCCGGACGACAAATGGCCAGCTTACGTAGATCCTCAGCAGCTAGATCAAAGTCCCAAGTTTCTATATACGCCTTAGATCTGCGATAGAGTGCTTTTACATTTGTAGGATCTCGTGATAAGGCTTCAGTAGTATTTTTTATTGCAGCATAGTAGTCCTAGGAATTATCATGGAGAGAAAATATAGCATAACGAAAATATCAGTAGGGGTCGACAGCACAATTCCAAACATTAGTTATTCGCTTGTTTGAATTGCGGGCACGCCACAAATATAAAGCAAGACTACCTAAAAAGTCTTCAATTAAGATTCTGTTTAGAACGATATTTGATGAGCATTTGACCAGAAGACCAATCTCATTCAAGATGTCATCAAAATTATGGGAATGATAAACCTATTTCATAATTCTTTCATTTCAAGAGGAATTCTGTTGATGTAACCTTTGAGAATAAAATGTGGCTTACAACGTAGCCGGTTCGTCACCTTTTAAAAATCCATTTTCGGACACAAACATGTTGGGACCTGATCAAAATATTATAGTTTTAAATTTCTACCATTATTTTAGTCTCACAATTTGTTAATCTGACTAACATGATCTTACTTTCAAACTTATCCCATCGGTTCTTAGTAAAGTGAAAAATTTCATTCAGACATTTAGTAAAAGGAATAGATAAAAGTGAATAAATATTTGTTTTCAAATAATTTTTCACCATAGCTTGATTTATACTAGCTGATTATAAAGACGGCTAATTTTCTCGATGCAATGAACACTGGTGAAATGAGTCAGTAGAACGGAGACTTCCTTCATTTTAGGCGAACTTAACATCGAGGCAAATAATACTAATTGTATATTAGATATTGAAAGTTTTGCAAGCAGATACTTTATCTGGAGCAAGTCATGCTTTGTCGGTACAACGAACATCAGTATCGTTGGAATATGTGCTCAATTTAAATTTATCAGAATAGTCAAAATAGATGAAACCGTTGTATAGAAGCGAAGATATAGCAAGGGGAACGAATGTCAAAATAGAATGGCTAGGTAGCATTTTTGGGAAAACCATGTTCTTTCATGTTAAGCAATTAGAATATGGTTTTTGTGAGAGTTATCTATCACAAAAGGTAATAAAACTATACAGCATCAAAAATTTTAACACGATTAATTAACTTATCAGAAATAATTATCAGTCAATCAGTTTTGGAATCATAATATTTCAACCATAGCTTCTAACCTTAGGAACAGAAACCCAGCATTTTAATTAAAAAAACCTATCATCTAATTTATTCGAAATCTAGTCAAAAACATGATTTCTAGCAACAAGGTTGTAAGTTAGGATAAAATTGTTATAATTAAAAAAGAGTATTGAAAATTTAAACGCTTAAAATAGTCATATGAATAAGTTATTTACTTTTTCTTTAAATTGACATTGTGCAAGATTAACGAATAATGGTATTTGTAACTTGTTCAATTCAATCCACTCAGGTTCACCTGGTTTTTCTCGTAAACCTAATTGTTCTAAAATGCCTAACGCTTCACTATAACATGCAGCAGCCTTATTATACTCCCCACGGTTATACAACTGATTACCTTCTTCACGTAAAACTGGTACAGTTTCCAATTTTTCTTCAGGCGTCATTATCCATGTTTCTTTACGACTACCAGTGCCTGGAATTTCAACTCTAGAATAGCATATAAAAATATATCTTACTCATTAAATTACAGTTGAAATTTGATTATGTAGGTCCTTAGGTTAGTCAAAGAGATAAATGTAATATACAGCAATACTCCCGGTATTACAATGCAGATAGGAATCATGACACGTAAAAGTATAAAATTCCACAGGTCGCAAGTACTCAGTTATTAAATTTGATTAAAACGTCTAGCAAGCGGCGTTGATGGAACAGAAAACTAAATCACCTGATATATCAGTTGTTAAATTTAATAACTCTCATCGACTGAGATGACTGGGACGTACATCAACATCACAGCTAGCACTTGCGTCAGTGTAGTATACGGACTGATATAGAAAAAGCCTTTAAATAAGCTAAATTTGGTCAGACAACGATATAGCACCAGCGAATGGAGTCAGTAACCATTGATCTGAACTGTGCAAGTTAAGGTCCATGAGATATATATGACATGAACTAAGGCTGATTGGATTGAGACATATAAGAATTTTGAACATCGTTCTATTTTGTATGTATGTTCCATCTTGCCTTGTTTACCTTTCAGTTGATTTTTACTACCTTTGTTTACTCTACTTCACTGTTACCATGTCTAACAGAAGCTTATTGTTATTATTGTAATTATCATCCTGGAAAAAAATAAGTATATATATATATATATATATATATGCAATTGTACTGCTTTGAAAATGAATTCGCCGAAAGGAGAACTCGTCGCCGAACCAATCTTTCTTATTTAATTTTGCATAAACCAAGAGGCCTAAGTTTACATTAGTTTAATTTCATGAATTAGTAGAAAAGTGAACAAACTGATTCAGATTTAACTACCCGACCGTAGTTGCTACCTTGACGTGGTGGTCGGGCTTGCCTATCGTGATGAAGCAACTGAGCTATACCGGACGGAACAACCGTTCCTCAAGGTCCTACCATGCCAGACAGGTCGGTTGAAGAGCGGTAAGACTAAAACCAACAAAACCAAGGTCCTATGGCGAAGTCGTACTGCTGACTGTACAGAGGTGTGACAGCAGTAAGGTGTTTCCTTCAGACAATCAGCATAACAGCGATGCTGCCTTCCCACAAGGAGGGGTGGGGTTAGAAAAGGTGCACACCTTGCCTTATCCCACGGATATCCGTCTCCGGCGGTAAGGCCGTTTGAAGAACGGAGCTAACACATTAAAAACCTCCCACAAAAAGGTCGCTAAGACCAACACTAATCCGATTTCCTTTTCAGGTCCCTCAAGAAATACCCTTCCACGGTGTGGGCAACCGGGAAGTGATATCAGCCCTCATACCCGTAACAGCACACGAGACCAAGTTGATCACATTCAAATCCTTCCTACACCTCCTAATAACTCTCTTATCTCCACGACTAACCCTTCTTACGTCCCTTTATCAGGCTTCCTTAGATAGAACTTTAGAATCTCGCTCCATCGATGTGTGCTGCGTCTCCAAAACGCGCACACAGGATCCGAGTAGTGTCATTCATTTGACCGCACGATGTCAAAGTAACGAACCAACTCGATTTACGCTTCGTGTATCTGGAAGCCCTGATGCTGATTCCCGTGGCCTCGCTGGCGTAGGTATAGCATTGAGTCCTAGGGCAGAACTAGCTCTCTTAGACTGGATCCCAGTAGCCAGTCGTTTGTGAGCTGTCCGACTAAACGGAACAGTAAGGATTCGAAAAGATAGGGACACTCGTCGTTGCCTCTTCGTCGTCTCTGCCTACTCTCCCACTGACTGCAGCTCAGATGATGTAAAAGATGAGTTTTACAGAAAGCTTTCCGACCTTCGAAAAGCTAGGCGTTCAGATGTAGTAATAGTGGCTGGTGACTTTAATGCTCAAGTAGGTAAACTAAGCGAAAAGGAAAGACACCTGGGTGGATCTTATGGTGTCGCGGTTCAAAGAACAGATAACGGCGACCGTCTGTTGCAGCTATGCTCAGATAATCGCCTGTTTCTTGCAAACACTAACTTTAAGCATAAGGAAAAACATCTTTTAACATGGCGACCCCCTAATTCGTCTCAACGCTGGACCCAAATAGATCACATCGCTATCAGCCACCGATGGAGGGGCTCGATAGAAGACTGCCGCTCATTCTGGAGCACATGCTTAGACTCAGATCATGCTCTAGTGCGAGCGCGTATTTGTCTACGTCTTACTGGACGTAGGAAACATGCTGCAAGGAAACCCCTTAGGGTCCTACTTAATGATAGTCAAGCTAAGAGTATATTTCAGGAACATCTAGAAAAACAGTTAGGCAGCCATGTAAGTGATACCCACCCCGAGGCAGCATGGAATGATATCCGAAAAGCTGTAGAAACAGCAGTGATGTCTGCAAGTACAGTAAACCATAAGGTTAGAGAGAAACACTGGATCTCAGCAGCATCTACCGCACTGATAGATGCTCGAAAACTCATTCCATCTGGCTCTGAACATAACGAAGAGCGGAGTCAGCTTAAGCGTAAGCTGACTAGAAGCCTACGCAAAGATCGTGAACAGTGGTGGGTAGCGAAAGCAAGAGAGATGGAAAAGGCAGCGGCAATAGGTAACAGCAGGCAACTGTTCAGACTTGTTAAGGAAACCGGTATTAGTAACCCAACTGTGAGCGAAACAATCGCAGAGAAAGATGGATATATTATTCATTCTCAATCCAGGAGATTGGACCGATGGGCAGAATACTTTAGGGATCATTTCAACTGGCCTTCAGCCACACTTCAGTTTCCCCCGATCCCCAGTCGACCTGAATGGCAAGTTGATGTAAGTCCTCCGACTCTTTACGAAGTTGAAAAAGCTATAGGAAATCTGAAACGTGGGAGAGCAGCAGGCCCTGACAGGTTTACCCCTGAGATTTTTAAGGATGACGGTCCAGTATTAGCAGCGAAATTGACTGAGGTCTTAGGTAGAATCTGGGAACTGGACGTAATCCCATCTGACTGGTCTCAATCACTGATTGTACCAGTCTATAAGAAAGGACAAAAGTCCTCCTGTGACAATCACAGAGGAATTAGTTTGACTAATATAGTGTCTAAAATATTAGCTTCAATAATACTTCGACGTCTAACCAAAGCTCGTGAAGAGCAGACTAGAGAAAACCAGGCTGGTTTTCGACCTGGACGTGGTTGCATTGATCAAATATTCACATTACGTCAGGTCCTAGAACATAGACACACATTCAGACGTCCCACAATGGTAGTATTTCTCGACCTTAAGGCGGCATTTGACTCTGTTGATCGTAAGGTTCTATGGCAATGTTTGTCACTGAAGGGAGTACCAAAGAAGTACATCAACCTTATAAAGGCTCTGTACTCGAACACAACTGGTCGAGTGAGAGCTTATGGTGAACTGTCATCAGAATTGATTACCTCAAGTGGTGTTCGTCAGGGCTGTTCACTCTCTCCATTCTTGTTTAACTTTGTCGTTGAGGTCCTTTTAGAGATGCCACTTTCCTCATCTAAATTTCCAGGAGTTGAACTTCTACCGGGAGATCCACTTGTTGACTTAGAATATGCCGATGACATAGTTCTATTTAGTGAAGACGCTGACAGAATGCAAAGTCTGCTGACCACTCTAAGCAACAATGCAAGCATGTTCGGCATGCGATTCTCTCCCTCGAAATGCAAAATGTTCCTTCAGGATTGGGTTGCGTCGAAACCCGAACTAGTGATAGGGAGTGAAGTAGTTGAGCGTGTCGACCGCTTCACTTATCTCGGAAGTCTCATCAGCCCTTGTGGTTTGGTGCGTGACGAAATCTCAGCACGGATACAAAAGGCTCGACTAGCTTTTGCCAACTTGCGTCATTCGTGGCGTAGGCGAGATATCCGTCTATCAACCAAAGGACGTGTTTACTGTGCAGCAGTTCGTTCCGTCCTACTTTATGGCAGTGAAACATGGCCAGTAAGAGTAGAGGATATTCGTAGGTTACTAGTATTTGACCATAGGTGTCTTCGAAACATTGCTCGTATATCCTGGGACCACCGAGTAAGTAATGCAGTTGTTATGAAACGGGTACTAGGTAAGGATGGCAAATCAATTGAGGAAGTAGTGAAACTTAATCAGTTGAGATGGCTGGGACATGTGTTGCGCATGCCCGACCACCGACTGCCCCGACGTGCTATGTTTTATGGTGTAGGAGTAGGTTGGAAGAAAGCTAGGGGCGGCCAGACCAAAACATGGCACAAATCCATGAAGTCACTGACAAGTGGACTGAGTCATGTTGGTAGGTGTAGACTACCTGGTTGGGGACCGCGAGACGATAGCAACCGATGGTTAGAGACCTTGAATGACATGGCTCAAAATCGTTTGCAATGGCGCAGGTGCACCCACTCTCTGTGTTCTCTCAAACTCTAACCTTCATGTCTTTTATTTTTCCAAATCTATTCCACTGGACTATACTCCTTAAATAACATCATCAAACCTTAATGTTCCCTATCACTACTTATACTTTCACTACATCTACCACTATGGGATTTGATACGATAACTGAATCTCTGTGCTAATGTAGTATGGCAACTCGAACTGATGTACGTACGTACGAAGTTCCACGTTGTTACTGACTGACTGACTGACCTCACAGCCAAGTGTTGTCTTTTTTGAGTATATGGTCTTGCTTTTCGTCAACACTTGGACACCTAAAAGGAGCGACACTTGTTATGAAGCTTTTATAGTCTATTTCATATATAAGAAACTAACTAAGGAAATAGTTCACTGAATATGGCAATCGAAAATCTATGACCTCAAGTAGTTTATTTTGTATCCAGAGTGGAACGAAGATGGAAATATAACAGAAAATAGTTAACGTTCATAACTTTTGTTGATGGGAGAAAGAAATAATGAGCAAATGAACTCTCAAATATTTTAGATTTGGTCTCACAATTTGGGTTTGTGTGATATTATGATTACAGTTGAATGTCTATGCTTTATTCTCAGGTCGTAAATATAATAAGAACTTCAATGTGTATTAAGGTCACGAGATTTTATTATTGAGTACATTCCCATCTACTGTAAACAATTCGATTCAAGTTTCACAATTCAGCTGAAAAGAAAAATGATATTTAGATAAATCAAATGACCAATCTAAGTACTAGGCTTTAATTTTTTTTTTGAATAAGATAAATAACTTATTAGTGTCTTCAGCTGATATATGAACAGGTTAATTTCTAATGAAATTATTGAACGAAACCTTTCTTTAATGAACTCTGAAGGATATTAGTATTACTTATAGATGTCAGGAGACAATGAGTGTGACAATATTATACTAGGCTGAACTCCAGTTCTTGGTTGAATTCATTTTGTGATACAAAACAAATTGAACGCAATATTAATTGAAAGTGCTAACCGTTTAAGTCATGAAATCATACTTACCACGCCAAACAATTAAAATTATTTAATTCCACGGTTTCGTAGAATTCGATCAGCATCAATGAATAGGTAATAGGATACCGGTTTTGAGTTGAATAACTCAGAGATAACATCTGTGACTATAGTACTGAGTGACGTGAGTACGGACCAGTGCTGCAGCTACTGTGTTTTTGTAGTCGCAGATGAGTGTCAGTCAGGGTAAAATCTGGGAACGGGATTTTATGTCTATTTCTAGTAGTCACATCATGTTAATCAAATGTGATTTATTACAGATTATTTCATCAAATATGAACCTTCTAATGACGTAAACCTCAAATCACTTTAAAATTACAGCCACTTACAGTCCATGGGTGTGGTCTAAAACACGAAAAAATAATTAGCATTGAAAATTCACGACCAGTAGGACGCCCTTATTGATTTAATAGCAAATTCTTTCGATTCTCCTACCTATAAAACATACTAACGACTTTGAATTAAATACCATCTAAAAACACTAATTTCTGTTACCAAATCAAAAAATATTAAAACATAATAATACATTGATAATTGTTGTAGGAATATATTAATAAAGCTTCCTAATTAAGTATTACATTAGGTTTTGCTTTTATTTGTGACTGGTCATTGATTTCAGAATGATTCATAAAAATAACCATAAAGTCGAATTATTTTACGATAACATAAGCATTATATATTGTTTTACCTTAAATGAATCCTGAATAGGAATATGCACTAGTACGCTTTATTTTGCTTTTGTATGAAGGTGCAAACATTTTGATGAGAATAAAAAAACCCTATTATAATTGTGTTAAAGACACCAGTAACACGGCTACTAGATTATTTTGATGATTATAAACCATAGATCTGTGGTTTGAGCGCTTAACTTTCAGTTATAAGGTCAAGTTAAAACCCAGCTCATACTAACTCGGTATTGACAGGCTTTATAAAGCCACTAAAGCAGTCAGTCAGTCAGTAACAACGTGGAACTTCGTACGTACGTACATCAGTTCGAGTTGCCATACTACATTAGCACAGAGATTCAGTTATCGTATCAAATCCCATAGTGGTAGATGTAGTGAAAGTATAAGTAGTGATAGGGAACATTAAGGTTTGATGATGTTATTTAAGGAGTATAGTCCAGTGGAATAGATTTGGAAAAATAAAAGACATGAAGGTTAGAGTTTGAGAGAACACAGAGAGTGGGTGCACCTGCGCCATTGCAAACGATTTTTAGCCATGTCATTCAAGGTCGGTTGCTATCATCTCGCGGTCCCCAACCAGGTAGTCTACACCTACCAACACGGCTCAGTCCACTTGTCAGTGACTTCATGGATTTGTGCCATGTTTTGGTCTGGCCGCCCCTAGCTTTCTTCCAACCTACTCCTACACCATAAAGCACCGCATGTCGTGGCAGTCGGTGGTCTGGCATGCGCAACACATGTCCCAGCCATCTCAACTGATTAAGTTTCACTACTTCCTCAATTGATTTGCCATCCTTACCTAGTACCCGTTTCATAACAACTGCATTACTTACTCGGTGGTCCCAGGATATACGAGCGATGTTTCGAAGACACCTATGGTCAAATACTAGTAACCGACGAATATGTCATCGGCATATTCTAAGTCAACAAGTGGATCTCCCGGTAGAAGTTCAACTCCTGGAAATTTAGATGAGGAAAGTGGCATCTCTAAAAGGACCTCAACGACAAAGTTAAACAAGAATGGAGAGAGTGAACAGCCCTGACGAACACCACTTGAGGTAATCAATTCTGATGACAGTTCACCATAAGCTCTCACTCGACCAGTTGTGTTCGAGTACAGAACCTTTATAAGGTTGATGTACTTCTTTAGTACTCCCTTCAGTGACAAACACTGCCATAGGACCTCACGATCAACAGAGTCGAATGTCGCCTTAAGGTCGAGATAACACTATGTATATGACTGGTAGGTGAAACGACAATATTTACGATACATATAATTAAACTGTTCACACTGTATGAAATTTATAATTTAGATTAATTAAATGTATTAAAATAATTTTCTCGAAACATCAAGAAATAACAAAACCCAATGGATAAACTTACTTAACTAAATCAAAAATAAATTCAAGTGCTTCAGGTTTCATCATCAACTCGTCCAGATCTGGGTAGCCCAAACCACCTTGCTCTTGTAAGCTCATTAATCCACAACAGTGTTTTGCAGAATGATCCTTTTTATTTAACATATAATCACGGAGTTTTTTATTTACAGCTGGAAATGATGCCAATCTTTCAGGTGGTACAACAAATGATGAAACTTCACCGGGCAACATAGTTCCTAAACATTGTTCCCAAAACTAAAAAGGAACATTGAAATATAGAGAAGTGCACATCTTGAATGATCTTAAGAGCTGAAATGAGTGGAAAATGCAAATAATGGACAAAGCAATCGAATCTATAAGTGGTTAACAGGATAACTAAGTTTTATTTCTGCTTATATAATCAGATTATCTATGACTAACTATAACAGATTCTGAAAAACGCAGTAAAACTGGTAGTCATTGCTAGCTTATTATGAAGGATTAAAAGATACCTATCAGGTATGTCTAACGGTCAGTTATATGCAGCAAGAAATAATTCTACATTGGACTTAACATGAAAACATATCTCATTTAAGTTGGAAAATACTTGTAATGTTTCGTTTTCATATGACGAATACAAATAGACATCCTTGATGAACTGATATGAAAAAACAAGACTATTTTTCGTCATTAGCAATAACTAAATCGTACTCTTCTTACCTCCAGTTGGAATTCTTTTCCCGAGTACACCTCCATCGTTTTCCCATACTTACGGGTATCATCAATCACGGTACGGTCTTCATCCAGTTTACGAATTTGATAATGAAAAATAAACTTGGTCTCTTTTGGGTAAGCTAGTCCACCCCCAGGAGCCTGAAAATGAGGCGAAACCTTTTCAACACTTCCATGAATGATTCGTTTCTCAATGTTTTTAAAAGTGCTTTCAATATTTGTTGTTTTGTGGCATGGAGCTTTATCACCCAGCTTCCAGTTTTGAATTACGGTTGAAAGATTTCGTAGAACGTCGGGTTTACAAGCAGTTTTGCAGCAACCACTATTGTTTTGTTTGTGACTGCAATGGTGATGTGACTTTATGGATGTTTTCTTTTGCTTCGATGCATCGTTTTTAGGTTTGGAATTTCTGATGTTACTGGTAGCTTGATTGTCACAAACTGCACTTGATTCTGAACTCAGGCACTCCATACTGATCTAAACGACAAAAATGAAAGCTGCCAAATACTGACTGGGTATTACAGATATTGATACTATATTATTTCAAAAGGATTGAAGTTACTACAAGATAATGGTAACTAAAATATATTGAAATGGTGGGGAAGATTTAGAGCTCAGGTGGATGGTTTTGATGGAGTTTTGTCCTCTGAGCTCTCTGAAAGTTCCACGGCAAAACCAACCAGCTCGGAGAACAAAACTCCGTCAAAAACTGAAATATATGTAGGAAGACTGAATCCATTATTTGACGGTTGATAATCGAGCAACCGCTAGAACGATGGGATATATTTGGAAGGCCATCGTTAGTATTTACCTAAAATAGTCAGTCAGTCAGCTAAAACGTAGGACCAGGCACATATATGCATCAGTCCAAGTTGCCATACCGCATTAGCACAACAAGATGAACACCGGATTCATAAAAGTAGTTAATTCAGTGGTGGTAATATATAGAAGAAAGATTGCATATGAAATAGTACAGGAAGAAAGAAAGTGTATACACCGACGCCATTGTGATCGATTCTGGGCCATGTCACCAAGAGTCTCCAACCATTGGTTACGATAGTCACGCGGACCCCAACCAGGCAGTCTGAATCTACCAACATGACTCAGACCAGAAGTTAGTGTCTTCAGGCACTGATGCCACGTTTTGGTTTGGCCGCCCTTAAATTTCTTTCAACCATCCCCAACACTAGTCGGTACTGTGCATCGTAGTAATTGGTGTTCAGGCATACGCAACACGTGGCCCAACCATCTCAGTCGATGAAGGTTCATAACCTCGTCAACTGATTTACCATCACTCCCTAATACCCTGCGTCTAACCTCACTATTTCTTACCAGGTGATCCCAGCAGATGCGAGCAATATTTCTAAGGCACCTGTGGTCAAACACTAGTAACTTACGAGTATCTTCTACCCTTAAAAACCATGTTTCACAGCCGTATAGTAGAACGGAACGAACTGCCGCGCAGTATACTCGTCCTTTAAATGATAGACAGATATCTCGTCTTCGCCATAGGTCACGTAATTTGGCAAAAGCCAAACGAGCTTTTCGAATCCGTGCTGAGATTTCGTCAGACACCAACCAATTAGGGCTGATCAGACTTCCAAGATAAGTGAAGTTGTCAACACGTTCGACTACTTCACCCCCTATCCTTAGTTCAGGTGTTGATGCAGAACAATCCTGGAGTAACAATTTGCATTTAGAGGGGGAGAAGCGCATCTCAAACATTCTGGTATTGTTGCTCAGTGCTACCAAAAGACTCTGCATTTCATCAGCGTCTTCACCAAACAGGACTATGTCATCTGCGTATTCTAAGTCGATAAGTGGACCTCCTGGTAGAAGATCAATACCCGAGAATTCAGCGGACGAGAAAATTATTTCCAGCAGTAGGCTTATGATTGAATGAAACAAAAATAGAGAAAGTGGACAGCCTTGTCGGATACCACTTGAGGTTGCAAAAGCAGATGACAGTTCGCAATAAGCTCTGACTGGACTAGTAGTGTTCGAGTAAAGAGCCTTCATAAGGTTTATGTACTTCTGAGGTACGCCTTTCAATGACAGACACTGCCACAGAACCTCTCGGTCTACAGAGTCAAACGCTGCTTTTAAGTCAAGGAAGACCACCATTGTCGGACGCCGATAAGTATGCCTGTGTTCTAGAACCTGACGAATGGTGAATATGTGGTCTATGCAGCCACGACCAGGTCTGAAGCCAGCTTGATTCTCTAGTGTTTGCAGTTCACGAGTCTTGGTTAGGCGTCCGAAAATTATCGAGGCTAGTATTTTAGATACTATATTAGTTAAACTAATCCCTCTATGGTTGTCACAGGATGATTTTGACCCTTTCTTAAATATTGGGACGATAAGTGATTGTGACCAGTTAGATGGAATAACGTCTAACTCCCAGATTTTAGCTAAAAGATTAGTCAACCTAATCACTAAAACTAGACCACCATCCTTAAAGACCTCTGGGGCCAAACCATCTGGACCAGCTGCCCTTCCTCGTTTCAGATTAACTATAGCCTTTTGAACTTCAGCTAGAGTTGGAGGACCTACTTCAATGTTCCATTCACACTGTCTGGGAATAGAGGGTAGTTGTAGAGTAGCTGAAGGCCAGCTAAACTGCTCCTTTAAGTGTTCCGCCCATCGTTCTAAACGTCTGGACTGGGAGCAGATGAGAGTGTCGTCTTTTTCCGAAATGGTCTGACTTACACTTGATTTATTAATTCCAGTTTCTTTTATTAGTCTGTAGAGTTATCTTGTGTTCCCTATAGCCGCCGCCTTTTCCATCTCTTTTGCTTTCGTTACCCACCACTGCTCACGATCATTCCTTAGACTTTTGTTTAATCTAGATTTGATTTCTTTACGCTCTTCATCGTGTTCAGAACCTGATGGGATGAGTTTACGAGAATTCATCAGTGCAATAGACCTTGAAGAAATCCATTGGTTCTTTGTAACCCTGTGGTTTAAATCACTAGTAGATGTCACTGCTGTTTTCACAGCTGATTGTCTAACTTTCCAAGCAACATCTGGGTCAGCCTCGTTTTCAGAACTACCTAAGTGTGACCTCAGTTGTTCCTGGAACCTACTTTTGGCTTTCTCATTACTCAATTCGGTTCTAATGAGTCTTTTTTGTGTGGCTCTTTTGCGTCCAGTGAGGCGCAAGCAGATGCGTGCTCGTACTAGGGCATGATCAGAGTCCAAGCAGGTACCCCAGAATGAGCGATAATCTTCTATTGACCCTCTCCAACGATGACTGATGGCAATATGGTCCATTTGAGTCCATCGTTGGTTTGGTGCAGGGGGTCGCCATGTTAGACGATGTCTCTCCTTATGCTTAAAATTTGTGTTTGCTAAAAATAAACGATTGTCTGAGAAAAGTTGCAGCAGACGATCACCATTATCTGTTCTCTGTACCGGAATACTAAAATACCCACCTAAATGTCTTTCTGTTTTGTTTAAGCTACCTACCTGGGCATTAAAGTCGCCTGCTACGAGTACTACGTCTGAACGTTTAGCTTTCTGAAGTTCAGACAGCTTTCTGTAAAATTCATCTTCCACTTCATCCGAACTGCAGTCAGTGGGGGCGTAGGCAACGACGTGTGTCCCTATCCTTCCGAGATCTTACGGAGCCATTTAGCCGAACAGCGCACAGACGACTGTTAACGGGGATCCACTCTAGTAGCGCTTGTCCCGCCCTCATGCTTAGTGCTATGCCTACACCTGCCAGTCCACGAGAACTAGCCATCGGGTCGCCAGATACACGGAGGGTGTATATCGTTGGCTCTCCGATTTGCCGAGGTGTGGTCAAGTGAATGACCACGCTAGGATCCTGTATGCGTGTTTCGGAGACACAGCATACATCAATCGTACGAGATTCTAGAGTTATAGCCCCGAATGCCCTGGTATGGCCGAGAGTGGAGTGGGTTCGCCCTCTCTCTCGAAATACTCTCACATGGCCACGCGTATATAGCCTCTGCCAGGGAAGTCCTACTCACTGCCTTCTCGTGGTCGGGGTGTTGTTTACGAAAATGACAGGACGAAAAGCGAATGTCCGGCGCTATAACCGGATCCCAATTCAATGGTGCACATGGGCCCCAGTATCCTGAGGGAACAAATGGCGTATGAACCAACTTTTGGTCACCGGCTTCCATGGGACTGCCTTGTGGACTAGACCCTTAGGTCAAAGGCTCGGGGTGTGGCCCCCTAAGAAAACCACCTGCTTCGGTTTGGGCACTCGGGCAGTATCTCAGCCCACACACTAAAACCATGATGAACTATCTGCTTATAGAAAATATTCGTTTCTCTCCGACTAACATTGAAATGACTGGTATTATTATTATTATTATCTACTACGTCATTTATTCACTATCTCCTATTTTTACTTTTTGTATCCGTTTCGACTCAGACAACAGCTCGCCTATGGTGAAAATTCAGCTTTATCTAAACGTTCTCGAGTCACTGCCTGGTTGAAAATTGTATGTTACTACCGAATATGAGTACTGAAGCAGTTTTTCTGAAACCACATGCATCATTCAAACTGGCTGCCTTCAACGTTCGCACACTTATGCAGGTCGAACAACAGATAGGTCTGGCTATGTCTTTGGAAAGTCTTAATATTGATGTGTGTTGTCTATCCGAGACCCGTATTCAAGACTCTGGTGAAGTACTACAAGTTCGCTCTCCATCTGTCGCTTCAAAAAGCTTCTCCATTATTCCAAATATATATGCGCCACACAAAACAATGATAATTTGAAAAGAATGAGAAAAGAGGAAAAAAAGTAATGAACGTGGGGAATTATATAAAAAAAAAGAGAGAGAGAACAATGGTGGGGGAAACGGAAAGGTACAATCAGAAGAAATCTTTCAGTTAAGGAAGATACAACCACTTTTTATGAAGAAAGTAAAAGAAGGTTACAACAGGATCGCCACTGGCTTCTATTCTGAGCCATATCTGATAACGTCTCTAGCCACTGCGTTACACCGTCTCTCGGACCCCAACCAGGGAGTCGTGAAGGACCAACACAAGCCAGCCCTTTGCAGCTTTCTTTCATACCACGACACCATGTCATGCACTGACCACCTCTCCGCTTTTTCCAACCAGTCCCAGAGTCGGCAAATAATGCACGACGTGGAATTCTCTGGGACGACATTCGTAGAACATGTCCAGGCCACCGAAGTCGGTGTTTCAAGATGGTGACACCAATTTCATTATCGTCTCTGTGACCGAACGCACGATGCCGGACCTCTGCATTACTGACATGGTGTTACCACTGGATGCCAGCAATCCTTTGGAGAAGTCTTTTTCCAGGCAACAGATCCACACCACCATTACTTACATCCGTCAGAGCTGTTTCCAGAATGTCATCGATGGCAAAGTTGAAGAGGAATGGTGAGATTGGGCAACTCTGCCTAACCCCACTGCTCAAATGGAATAATGGAGAACGGTGGTTGTATGCCCTCACTCTGCCTTAGGTGTT